AACCATGAACAGCCGCAAGTGCTTGTTGTCAGGCGTCTGGGAATGCTCGTGTGGCGGAGAGGCCCGGCTACTCTCCCTTGCAGGGCACGGCATGAAACCGACAGCATGCCAGTGAGGGATTTTGCTCGGGGAGTAGCAGTGCTGCTGCCCTGGCCCAGCCGAGCCCCACAACCAGCGTCAGATAAGACAACTGGAGGTTTACCCCTTCCTCCGACCCTGGCCCCGCTGGTTGCCTGTCATCGTTCAAGCTCTCTTTAGAGGATTGTCTGCATCTCTCCCCTCTAGCTGTCCTTCAGACCAAACTGCAATACTGGGACTGCTGAGGTTTAACCTGGACAAGTACTGGAAGTGCTACGAGACGATTACGCCCAGGACTGCTGCGCTCTTGCAGGGACCGGCCATGGCGCACAGCCTGCACAGCCTCTCGATTCCTCTCCTTGGATGCACGAACTCTTGGTTCAAGACCACCCCTCTGCTCTCCTTTGTGAAAGCAGCCATGAGTGTGGCCTCTGATGACTCTGATCTCCTTGGATCGGAAGCAGATGGGATCCCTACAGCCGTGGCTGGAGGGCGAATTCTCAGACCCCTCCGACGGTCCTCCCTCTAGGGGTGAAGTCAGACTACCACCAGCTGCTCTCACTGCGACTGATCAGATGGCGACCAGGGTGCCAGGCACGCCTATCGAAGCATTACTTCAACGAGTTCCACGACCGCGGGCAGACTCAGATGCCTCAATGGCCCCGCCACTGCACAATCCTGTGATGATCGGCAATGGCACCCCGCTAGAAGCTTTTAGGCCCCCAGGCTCTCTTCTCCCACGGCAGCCATCGGCACGGTCGAGAGACAGCAGGCGCAACAGGACGCCCACCATGTCAAGGCCGAGTCAAGCTCCGCATCTGAGGATGGCAGAACCTGGCTCCAGTTCGGATGCCCTTCCGATGCAGTCCACCACCAGCAAGGCTTCAGGGGTGGAGGATGAGCCACCTCTGGCTCACTCCATGGAGATGCCCAATACCGCCTCAGATCCATCCAGTGCAGCCGCAGAACCTTCAGGATCAACCGAACTCCTCTGGGAGGACTGCTTGGATCTGGACCTGATGCCTCCGCCGGGAGTGGAGCCTGCCAGCTCTTCGGCAGATGGCTCGGGACCAGTGCCTTGGCCGGGTATCCGAAAGCGACGGCGGGCATGTGCCAAAATGCTCGTCCGATCGGGCCTTCGATGCTCGATCTGTTTTGCCATCAAAGTGCCAGCAGTGCAAACCAGTGCTGATCGCTGTCGCTGTAAAAAGAGGGCCTTACCTAGTGCTGGCAAACTCCCAGATCCAACTCTCCAGCCTCTCCGGTCTCTGAGTTTGGCTGCTTGTGCAACTAATGTGCTCTCACAGGACAGCATCGAGGCTGCTCGCAGGGCCAGGCTGGACACCAGTTTGCTGTACACAATCTTTGGCTTCAGAGTTGTGCAAAACCCCGGGAGAGCAATGTACTTTGGGAGCCATACATGTAACTCACACTCCCCTCCTTTACTACGGAGGTTAGCCCTCCGAGACATACAAGGGGCTGCCGATCGCACTCCTCAGTGTCCTGTCTCCTGCCATGCCCCTCCTGGCAGAGTTTCTCGAGCGTCACATTGACTCCGGCCTGCCCCGATGCAGGAACACAACAGTGGGGAACTCGCTTTCATCGCCGACGGCTGGCGCCGGTCCGAGATCCAAGTAGGCGTATCCGGTGGACTAAAGCCTACCTGAGTGTTGCTGCTGTTCTGCAATGCCTGGGACCCCATCTTCAGCAGATCACCCCCACCTGGGCTAATCAGTCACAGCCAGCACAGCAGAGCCTTTCCCCATCAGCATCCTATGGTAATATCTATCATGTCCCAAACATACAGACCCCAGGTCGAACCCCCCGTCCGAGCACAGTTTTTCCAACGAGCCGTCCGGGTCCCAAGTCCCGGAGCAGGTGCCTGAAGCTGACTCTGTTTTTGCAAAGCATCATTGCGTCCTTCAGTGCCCCTGTAGATGCGAGGGTAGAGGGCATAGTCACGAAACCCTCGGGAGCTGGTCCCCCCAGCTACAGGCAGCCTCCGACACTAACAGCGAAGCCTCGTGCATCAGACACTACTCGGAATGCGCGTGCCTCCATCCATATCACTGATTATGAGCAGCTGACTCGGGTAGGCAAGAGATCCTACCACCGTGCCATTAGGCGGGCAGCACGAGATGGTACAACCATGTACAGAGGCAGACTTCACACTGTGTCCTCCCTAGGAGCTACACAAACCACCTCCACTTCACCACCACCGGATCCTTACAAGTTACCGACACCTCCCACCCGTTCTCATCGCAATCCCCACCCTCCGACCAGTCGCTGGAGGATAGTCTCATGGAACTCAGGAGGTTTGTCCTCCTCCCGATATCAGGAAATAGAAACATGGCTTCACACTTGTGATCAACGAGGCCATCGGATCCACGTATGCATCCTCTTGGAGACACATTGGGAGTTCCAAGCTGAGTGGGCCACAGCAGAGTATTATGCGCTGCACACAGGCCTGAACCGGAGACAGGCGGGGATATTGGTTCTAGTCCATAAGACACTGGTCAGCAGTCAAGCTATTCGATCAGCCCCCATCATCCCAGGACGATTACTCCAGGTACGACTGGACACTGAACCCGCGATAACCCTACTCGCTGCGTACCAAACAGTCTGGAACGATGGTCCTGGAAAGGATGACACTTTGGCCCAACGTGAAATCTTATGGACTAAACTAGACTCAGCGATTAAGGGGGTTCCGGTCAGATCACAATTGCTGATAGCAGGAGACCTGAACACCCCCTGTGTATCCCAGGCCCCTCACGTGGGTCCAGGTGTGCAGGCTGACCCTTCTAAGGTCAAGCAAACCGATCAACATCGGCTCCAGAACCTGCTTGGCATGCATAACCTGGTAGCATTGAACACATGGGGCAGAAAGAAACATTGCTACACATACCGATTTGACTCCAAAACCACCATGCACCATACACAGATCGACTATCTGTTCTTCCGGCTGTGCCACGCTGATGCTGCTGCCAAATCAGCTCGTACCATCACCGCGCCCTTTGTACCTCAAACTGGCATGCGTCACCTCCCCCTTTTTGCCTCTCTTCCTCAGCCGAAATCCCCTCGCACCAAGGCGCGATCACAGCAAGCCTGCCCAACGGCCCGTCAGGTTGCCACTGCCCTCAGTACTGATGCCTCACTCGCGGATCGATTTCGAGCTAGAGCAAGTGCGCTTTTCTGCCTCAAACCCACTGCTGACCCAGCTCACTGCCTGAACACTGCCTTTCTTCAGGCCTGGCAAGAAGTTGGCCCGAGCCGACCTTCTCCAGTTGTTACTCAGGAGCATGCAGCAGGAGGCCTGGTGCGGAGGCTCTGGGCCCTGAAAGCAGACCTCAAACAACAAACTGACACCGGCTCAATCTTGGGAAGATGGCTGCTAGTTGCTAGAATTTCTCGAACACAACGACTCCTCAAGAAAGCTTGTCGAGATAAGAAAAGGGAGAGGGTCGAAACCCTACTGGCTGAGGCCGAATCCTCGCCCCACCCTTCTTCCATCTTTGGGGTCGTCCGTAGACTAGCGCCAAAGTCCCGGACAATGCGAATCCAACTCAGGGACCAAACAGGCCGTCTCCTATCAGGATCTGAAGAGGCTGAGCATATCGCCCAGTTCCTTAGGAAGGTTTTTCACAGTGAGCATAAGCTAGCACCTCCCCTCTCTGTGCCAATCACGGGTATGCACTTCACACAGGAGGAGCTGTGTGCTGCCCTGGATCGCATGGCCAGCGGAAAGGCACTTCCGGCAACTTTTGCGCCGGCACGTCTATGGAAGTTGCTTCCAGACCTTGTCGTCCCATCACTCTTGCCCTGTATGAACCTGGAGTCTTCGGCACTGCAGGAGAACTGGCACAAGGTTCAACTCTTTCTGATCCCTAAGGTTGCAGTAGTCCGTGAGCCCAAAAACCTTCGCCCCATAGCTTTGCTGCATCCTGCAAGCAAACTCCTGGCAGCCATGATCGCAACCAGAGTGCAACCCAAAATTGCTGCCTACCTGACTCATGTGCCTCAATGGGCCTATCTGCCGGGAAGATCTACGGCAGATGCTCTAGAATCGGTATGTTCCCACCTGCATCAAGTCCGGAGCATGCTGCAGGCGAATGCTTGCAATTTGCCCCAGCGCTTCCACGGCGCTGTGCCTCACAAGATGATGGGAGGCATCTCCATCAGTTTGGATGTTAAGAAAGCTTTTGACAGTCTGTCTCATGACTTCTTAGAGGCCGCTATGCGAGAGGCAGATTTCGACGAGTGTGAAATAGCTCTCATTCTCCACTTGCATACCCACGCTCAACTTCAGGTGGGCACTGGTGCGGAAACAGCCTCTGTCCTCTTAGGCACGGGGGTGAGACAGGGGTGCTCGCTTTCGCCCATCTTATGGGCCCTGGCCACTGGCAGAGTCTATCGACTGTATACTGCAGCCCTCAAGGAACAGAGGCTCCCGGAAGGACTCACCAACATATTTGCGGACGACTTCTTCAGTAGCTGGACCTACAAAAGCCCGGAAAACTTTCGCCAAGCGCTACGTGCCATAGGAATTTTGGTGAGCACACTTCAGCAAGTTGGTTTGGAGCTTAGTCTTGACAAGACTGTGCTGCTAATGGCATCGTCGGGTACGAGTGCCCCCTCCGTCATCGGAGGTTACAAGAAACTGGTAGAAGGGGTGCCATATCTCCGAGTTCCAGTCGGTAGTGCTCGAGTCCTCCTCAAGATTGTCAACTCCCACAAATACCTTGGCGCTCACCTCTCTTATCAAGGTTTCGAGGCCCAGAATCTGAAGCATCGCATGGCCACAGCCTGGGGAAGTTTCTGGAGACTACACTCCATCCTGATTAGCCGCTCACTCCCCCTTTTTTTTTGTGGTTGATGAACAGCATGATGCCGAAGTCATAGCCGTCCTTCGCCGTCAGGTCGATCTAGGCCGCAGCCCATCGTCGCGCAACCGAGCGAAGTGCTCGGTGCGCCTTCTGTTCCCACTCCAGAGCGGCAGCTCGCGCCTGCACACAACGTTGACGGAGGCTGCCTGTCGCCAGATGCTGTGCCTTCGCCCTCGCCGCCTGGTCAGCCTTGAAATTCAAAGCCCGCGCCACCATCTCGCCACAAGGAGGCGGTTGCCAAGCAGCCGGTGCCATCTTGCCGTGGGAAGGGACCCACCATCGCTTCACCTTGATTCTTCGAGGCACATCCCGAAAAGCAGCAACAGCTCTGGAACTCAAGAGAGGCAAAGCGCCACCTCCCGTCACCGTCGTAAGAGCCGACTGGCAGTCGGCAATCACATGCACTTCGCCCTCGGCACTGCACCTGCCCAAGGCCTTGGCCACGAAGATCAGGCCGTCCACCTCAGCACGATGAGAGCTCTGGTCCTCCCCGGCCACCGGTTGGGCGAAGTTCACCTCGCCGTCCAGGGCAATTGCCCACGCCGCCACCAAGTCGACGACGGAGCCGTCCGTCGCCACATAAATCGGGGAGCCCAGTGCCAGCCTAGCATCCAAAGCCTCCGCGATGTCGTCGATGTAGTCCTCGAGGTCAAGAGCCAGAGGAGGTCCCGGCACCTCAGGAACTTCACACGCCAGCAGTCTCTCCTGTAATCTGTTGACCGGAGGGCTCACGTCCGCCACCAGGTCACGAGTCGCCGGGCAGTTCCACAACAGGTGCGGCCTCGAGGGGAGCCGCTTGGAGCAGAGACAATCGGGCGGGCCTGCCCCATCACGTGCATGATGCATCAGCTTCTTATGCTTGAACCAAGCAGAGCAGCCAGTGACCATCGCCGACCGCCGCTCCAAAGTGTCAGACGAGCTGCGCCAAGCCCAACGGTGACCAGCGAAGACCGCCAAGTAGTCCTTCGGGGGACCCGGCAGTGCCAAATCCTGGGCCAAGTCGGGCTCCTCCTCTCTGTGCAGCGCCTTCACCACACGGCCACAGTTTGCCAAGCCACGTCGCCGGTAAGCGTCCCGAAGCCACTCAGCCACCGTCTCGAAGGAGTCCACACCAACCTCGAAGGAGCGCACCTGGCCATAGGAGTCGCGCCGAAGGATGAAGGAACCCCGCGCATCGCACCACCACCCAAGGTTCGCCAGAACTTCGCGAGTCACCGGCAGCATGGCCGGCCAGCGCTGCCCAGCCAGTCGCACCGAAGCCTCCTCCAACCAGACAGGAACTCGGCAGTGGAGTCCAGCAGCACCCCGAAGAGCAGCAAGATCACGAGCATAGCCAGGATGCACCTCCCAGCCCGCAAGCTCGTAGCACAGCACCGGCGGTGAGTCGGCGGCCAGGTCCTTGTGCAACAACCACCTAAAGTCCGCCATCAGCGCCTCCATGGTGTCCTGCGGGACCGACGCGTAGCCACCAGCCCAAGTCAGCATCGGCAAAACAAGCATGTTCATGAAACGGCACTTGGTAGCGAGGCTCCGCACCGCCACAGCAATGAGACGCAGCCTCCTCCGCACCTTCTCCAGGTCAAAACCCTTAAGCATCGGCACCTCAGCACGGTCCAATGGGATGACCAAGCCAAGGATCGTCAAGCAGTCCGCCTCGTCGTAGCCCAAGTCGGCCGCCAAAGCCCGCACCTCGGCATCGGAGGCCCGGTGGACGAACTTGCTCTTGGAAACATCACAACTGAAGCCATAGGCCGAGTCGAAAGCCGAACTCCGCAGCTTCGCCGCCGCCAACGTCGCAGGAGCCGAAGACCAAAACAACCGATCATCCACAAAGGAGACCGTCTGCACCGCGCCGGCACCACCAACCTCCACGTGCTGGGACCAAAGTGCCATGACCACCCCAGCCAAAAGCGGCGAGAGCGGGCAGCCCTGAGGAATTCCGCAAAGGACCTTGTGCCATGCAGCGCCGGTAGTGCCATTGTGGGTAAAAACACGAGAGTGCCCGCCGTAAAAGTCCCGAAGCAAGCGACACAAGACCTGCGGCGCGCCCAACTTCTCCAAGGAGGCCTGCAAGTCCTCGTGGCGGATGCTGTCGAAGTACTTGGGTCAAATCCTCCTGCACGTGCAGCTGGTCGTTGTCGAGTGAGTCCATGATGCGAAGGAAGCTGTCCCGAACACCGCGGCTGTGAACTCCACCAAGAACTCGATGGGAAGCCCACGTGTCCAGCCAATCGGCAAGCTGGCCCACCAATAGCTTTGCCCCCACACGCCATGCACACGACAGCACCGTAAGCGGTCTATGACCCGAAGTGGGCTTGGGAATCAGTACGACTCTGCCCCGCCTCCAAACTTCGGGCGCAACGCCCGTGTCCAGCACCTTGGTCCACAAAGCTGCCAAAGCCTCCCAGAACGACATAGGGAGGAGACACCATTGCCCGGTCGTCCACCCATCCGGGCCCGCCGCCTTCGTCGCCATCTGCTTGCCCGCCTTGTAGAGCGCCTCCGCCGTAAAGGAAGGGTGCCAAGCAGCCTCAGGAAGAGTAGGGAGAGGCCGAAGAAGATCCGGTACCCGACCCGTCACCGTGCTCCGGCCCCAAAGGCGCATCCAGCTGTCCTCCGCCTCCGCAATCACCCGAACAGGATGGACCGCCTTAGAGACATACACATCGCCCGATGGCACACGAGGGCGATCAAGCTCCACCTTCAGTTTCTCACGGCGCCGGATCCAAGAAATGACCTTGCCCTCCGACTCCTCCATGCTAACACGCCATGCAGCCAAGGCAGCCTCTTTCTGAGCAGCCTCCATCTGCACCAGATGCTCAGCCACAAAGTCGGCCCACTGCTCCATCTGGAAGTAGGGAACCTCGGCAAGCCAGGGGCACCCATCCAGGAGGTCATCAAGTAACTTGGCCGCCTTATCACGAAGACGTGCATGCCCAGGGTCATGAGCTAGCTGCCTCAACTGCCGCTCCAAACGACGGAGCCGAACAAGAACCAGAGGCTCCTTAGTCTTGCCAGCCTTGCTGCGAGGGTGAAGTCTAGCACACGGCCGCCACAGCGAAGAGCGGCGGCGCCCCGAGGAACCAGGAACTCGAAGAAGATCCTCCGCACAGTCCGAAAGCTGAGTCCAAGCCGCATTCAAGTCGCCCGCCTCGAGGAAGCGGCGGAAGAGGCCCAAGCAGCCTCAGTGATCGCCTCCTTGGACAAGTCGCAGAAGGTAGGGCCACAGCATCCACTCGGCGAAGTCAGGTCCACCTCATAACACACCTGAGCATGATCCGAGTTGAAAGTCCAGCGCTGCCGCAGGCCTGACGGCACCAAAATGCCACAGCCCAAGGCGAAATCCAGCCGACGGCCGGACTCTCGCGTGCCCGGCAGCTGCTCCAGCGACTCGAAGTCCCGGTCCCACGGCACCGCAAAGCCCCGAGCCAGGTGCGAAGCCAGAGGCTCCAAGGAGGGCTCCAAGTTGTAGTCGCCGAGAAGCACCCAAGCCACCCGCGTCGCCCGGAGCTCCGCAACCGCATCCAGGGCACCTTGCATCGCCACATCCGCATTCCACACCACTCCGTAGTAAGAAGCAAACGCCACCTTGATGAAGCTCCCATTGCACAGGAACTCAAAACAAGCTGCAGCAAGTCGGCCACTGTGCACGCCGACCGCCACACCAGGATGTGTGGAAAGCACGGCACATCTATACACACCGTTGTCCTCCGCACTGAGAAAAACATGCACTCCCCGATCTTTCAGGATGGCCACGAAGGAGGCTGCCGAGAGTGAATCCAGGTTGAGCTCCTGAACCGCAAGCACATCAATCGGGAATTCGGTATCAAAGAACAAGTCCCCAAGCCAGTGGACCTTTGCAGCACCGCCGCCTTGCACATTAAGCGTGGAGAAACCGATCATTGCTCCTGGTCCTCGCCTTGCAACATCCGCAATGCATTGTCAAAGGTCCGCTTGAGGAGGTCCTCGGCAATGCCATGGTGCATCTTCGGGGCCTCTCGACGCAGCTTCCGCAGCGCCTTCACCCGAGCCTTGTTTCCGTGCCCGTAGTAATCACATCGATGGGAGCGAAGGTCACGAAGGTGAAGGTAGCAACGACGGCACTCTCGGCACCGCCAGGCGGCCCGCAGCATCAACTTGGGTGGCCGTTTTTTATCACTGCGCCGCACCGGCCACGTGAAGCTCTCAAAGCCAGCCAGGGCATCGGCTGCCGAAGAGGAGCTCCCTTTAGCCTGCCGCTTGGCCAGTCCCTGATTCAGGTACAAGACACGGAGCTTCATGGCCTTGGAATCCTTGCGCACGTTACGAGCACAGGCAGCATAGGCCGACCTCGAGAGCGCCGGATGCGCCTTAAGTCGATGTGCCTCCCTCGCCTTCATGCATGCCCAGCTCGAGGCCTTTTGCAGCTCGCCACGGGGAACCGCATACCGGCAGCAAGGGCATCTCCAATCCACCTGGGTGTCCTTGGGAAGAGGCCGAAGCTCGACAACCGAAGAAGGGTAGCGGCCAAAGTTCCGCTCGGCATCCGGGTGCCACGACTGGTAGTGCCTGTATCGCCTCTTGGCCAGTTGGGTGGAGTCTTTCCCATGGAAGATCTTCGCACAAAGCTCACAACCCAGTTTGAAGCTACCATCAGCCTGCAGCCCAGGATGCCTCGTGCTTTTCCGAGCCCAGTACTGGCGAAGGTTCAACATGCACTGCTTCTGGCCCCCATTGCCCCGGACGCCGGCCTCCACAGGAACGTCCTCGGCTCCTCGGGGATCTCCGCCACCAAGGAAGGGGTCCGCCCGCCAAGCCGCGCCACAGTGCCAGAAGCCGCATCCTCAGGGATCCGCGCCGGGCCACCGCCGCCACCATCAGAAGCCGAAGCCGATGAAGCACAGCGCCGCTTTGCGCCAGCAGCCGTCGCCTGAGTCCAGACCGACCCTGGCGTGCATGCACCCTCCGACTCGCGACTCCGATCGTCATGCGGGCCCTGGCTGCCCTCGGCCTTGCCATCGCCCGACGCAGTAGTCCACACTGAAGCCGCCCATGAGGAAGACAAGCGGGAACGCACCGACGATCTGGTCCACACCGAAGCTCCATCATCAGAGGCCCGGCCCCCGCCCCGCATCGGGACAGCAGGCGGTGGGGCTTTAATGTTCAGCAGGGCCCTCGGGAGAGAACCATTGTCACCCTCGATGAGGTCAAAGTGGCTGCCTGTAAAAAGCAGCGACAGCACCCTTTTGCGAGCCTGCCCATGGACATGAAAGGGCTCAATGTGTTGGGACGTGGGGAAAATGATAACTCTCACGTCCCATATGCGACTCGCTGCACGGATCTCTGGGAGTCCTCCCCAAGTTTGATCAACCTCAATCGCACTCACGTAGGCTTCCCAATTCTCGGCCTTGGACCTATTGGGCATTTCTTTGTCCCACTCCTGAGCGTACTTATCCTCGTTGCGGCGAAGATGCACCGCAATCTTCGCCCGGACTTCTGCTCCAGTGAGCTGGTGCCCGGAAGGCTTCAAGTTGTTGATGTCCTTTGCAAGGCCACTGAAAAGGCAGTTGCCGTCCTTCTCGATCTTGGTGACCTTGGCCCCCTCGGGGAGAGCACGCTGCACCCCAGCAGCTCGCTTCGCAGCCGACCCGGTCGCCGCGCCGCCCCGCTTCCCAGCATCCTTCTTCTCCGCATTCTCGTTCCCGGCCGCCGTCACCTCACCCTCCTTAGGAGCAGGCTCCTCAGTTGTTCCAGCGCCCCCCTTCATGGTGGCATCATCGCTGGTATCCGCACCCTTGTGTTGATGACAAGGGCACCCGCAGACGCATCCACGTCCTCATCATCCAGCTCCACTGCCACCCGCTCGGTAGACCATTTTGAGCGCGGAGCCTCCAACCGCCAAGCACCAGAAGTCGCAATGGTCTGTGTAGGGAGAAGCGGCACAGCAAGGCTGTCCGCCGTCAGCAAAGTTTTAGCACGAAAATGATATGCCATCAAGTTGCCGTGCCTGCGCTGCAACGTCATCTCCACATCCTCAAAGTGACCTGCCTGAAGCACCGTGCGAAGATCATCTGGACTAACATCCCGAGGAACACCATCGATAACCCAGTGCCTCTGGACCGGCTGGTTGGGGTCCCGCCGGAGCCGCTTGCCAATCTGCTTAGCACCCGCGATAAGCCCGAAGTCGGAAGGAATCGTGAGGAGCCGGTTGAGGAAATCGGTGGCATTTTCGCTCTCCTGTTGGCTATGCCACTCCGTTTGCACCGGACCCAAGGGAAACCCACGGGCCACGTCGAAGAAGAGACCATTTTTCCCACTCAGGCTCAAGAGGGTCTCCACGTCAGTGTTGAGCAGCCGCCCGCAGCCAAAGACCTTTTGGTAAGGAGTGGCCTGCACCTGCTCAATCTGCCAGCCCCAGCTATCCAAAGCACGAAGACGATGCTGAGCCAGGAACCCATGAAAGGCCCGCTGCGGCTGCTTCACAATCTCCTTCCATTTATCGGCTGGCATGAACTTCTGGAGGAACCTGGCATAGACCACAGAGCTCTGCTTCGGTTCCAACTTCTGTGCCGCCGCCGCAGCCCTAGGCTGAGGCGCGACCAAGCCTGGGGTGTAGGACCTGTGGAAGTCCACCGTCCTGATGCTCAGCTTGCTGCCCGTCACGCCGGGACACCGTTGGGAGGCATCCTTATTCTGATGCACCAGCAGCACGCCATGTGCCTTAGACGATCCACGCAGCAAAGTCTTAAGGGTGTCGAACTCCTCGTCCGATGCGAGCACCACGCCCTTCACAGCATCATTGCTATCGCTGCCAAAGGCAGCCACAAGCGCATCATAAGTCATGACAGCCTCAGTCCAATCAGAACCTCGGAGCTGCCACTCGGCCTGCTTCTTGGCGGGCCCGACCACCGTCCACTCAGCACCATCGGCAGCATCCGGTCTGGAACCAAGACCCTTGCCCGCCTGCTCGCCACCATTGTGCTTGCCCTTGCCCTTAGACAGGTCGCCATGGCTGCTCTTGCCCTTGCCGGCCTGATCGCCGCCATTGTCCTTGCCATTGCCCTTGGCCAGGTCGTTCTTGCCCTTGCCCTTGGCCTGCTCGCCGCTGTTGTTCTTGCCTTTGCCCTTGCCCTTGGGCTGCTCGTCATCATCATCGCCGCGACGTTTGTCCCAGCGCCCCTTCTTGTTAGCCCCCTCTTCCGGCACGACCTCACCCGCAGAGTGTGCCGCCGAAGGAGCCCGCGATGAAGTGGCTGGAACCCGGCCACCCAGCATATCAGCAATCATGCCCTTGAGCCCCCCCTCAGCAAGAAGCTCCTGAAGTAGTTCACGAATCAAAGTCTCCAGCATGGGCCTAAGTAGGCCAGCAAGGCCGCCGAAGCCGCCATCTCCTCCATCATCTACTTCCATCTCAGCCCTACGGCGGGCTGTTGCACGCGACCCTCCACCCGAAGGACCAGGATTACTCGCTTCTCCAATTCTGGTGGCATGCTTCCAGTCAAAGTGACCCTGCATGCTAGGAACTACTGCAGCAATCGAAGCAAAGAAGTTCAGCGACGAGTAACCCACATGTCGCCTCACCCGATCCTGCCTCGCACTGCTTCCAAACTCTCCGCCCGCAATGTAGAACTCATCAAGCCTGTCGGGATCACATTGGAGATGCTTCGCCACCTGCTGGCCGGTATCCAGGTCAACAGGTCCCGGGGCCACCTTGCACGTAGTAGTGCTGGAGGTGTTCTCGCGGCCCCCCATCCGCTCACTCCCCCTGAAAACCAAACTTCGCCTATGGCAAGCCTGCGTCTTTAGTGTTCTGCGCTACTCCCTCCATCATGTAGGAGTCCCGAGTAATGGCCCCCTACTCATTCGTCAGGCTGTTCACAGGCAACTGAGAATGATTGCGCGCTCTCCTGCTCACTTATGGCATGTCACTTCCAGTGACATCCTGGCCAGGCTCAAAGTGGAGGATCCGTGGATCACCCTCTGCAATCAGGCCCCAGCACACCATGCGACTTTGCAGCCTCATGCACAAGCAACCAGCTTTAATGATTGGCAGAGCAAGCTTCGCAACATGTTCTCTGGTGTTCTCCTCTCGACAGATCCGGACATGCTGCACCTAACCCAACATCCTCCCCAGGACCACACTGGGATGAGTCCTCCTGCTCCGGCTTTTGAGAGTTGCGCCAGTGAGAGACGGGCTCATGCTTTTCGGATGCTGGAGTGCCCTCACTGCATGCAACAATTCACCTCCTTAGGTGCCCTGAGAGTACATGAAGCTTCTAAGCATCCGCCTCCTAGCCTGCCACTGCCCGCGGCCTCTCCTACTGGGATGGAAGATCATACTCCGCACCAAACCTCCCCCAACACTCCACTGCCCCCCCAAGATCCACAACCTCAACAGCTTAAGAAGGCACACACGCGAAGAAGAGTGCAATCTCATCAGCATGACGACAGCATGCATGGAGATCTCCCCATCTGTCTGAAACATGCAGACCCACAAACCAAGTTTGCATGGCTTCATGCACGTGATGGTCTCTGCATCTGCCGACACTGCGCGAGAGTCTGTGCCAGGTGGGATGAGCTCAAGATACACATCTTTACCAGATCCTGCCCGATACTCTTCCCGTCAGCCCAAGATTGCACCTTAAGTACTGCCCCTCCCAATCAGCTCAGCCCGTATTGGCAGCCTCAAATACGACAGATCCTGGCTACACACTGGGAAAAATTCTACGCTGCTCTAAAAGTAGACCAGCCAAAGGGTTACCAGTACTGCCCAATCTGTGGTCAATGGCTGATTCAAGCTCGAGGCATCACCTTACATGTGCAGGCCTGTCATCCTTGGGCTAGTGCTGCCTTGTCGCTTGCTAGAGCTCACAGCAAATGCTATCGCAGAGGGCTGGCTCTCAGTTCACCCTGCAGATATTGTGGCCTCTCCTTCAAGGGTGACCAGGCCAAGCATGCATCAGAGTGTGCCATGATCATCTGGACCAAATTCCTCTTTTCCCTCTTACACCCTCATGCTCTGCAGGATCCCCGCCGCATTCATGGAGCTCGAGGGTGTCAGCCAGGACGAACTTCAGGAGGCGGCGGCGGCCCTCACGATGCTTCAGACCATGGCTCTTCAAGGTCGCAACCTCTTCGAAGCACCACAGTCCCAGCCAGCGGGACCAGCTCAGAACCCGGCCAGTTCCCTCCACCCTCCGGCTCTGGAGGTTCAGGTTCAGACCCCACTGCGACAGACCTTCTCCCTCACCGGCGAACAGGAGGCGGAGCAGCCAGCCAAGTTCACGAGGACGAACGAGAAAGGCCAGGGGGGAAAGGGTCCCCGACAGGGAGACCCGTCGACAATTCCCTTCCAGAACTCCACCGGCCGGCCCACAGCCCTCATCGGCTCCCAGCGGAGGTTCACCCTCCAAGATCACGGTTTCCGCCTCGCTGATCACCCAGGTTGTGCAGCTCCTGCTACGACATGCGGATGCTCTCAACAGCATCGAACAATCCACAACATGGATTCTGTTTCAGGGCACGGCGCCCCCGCTAACGGTGGTGGATGCACAGGCCACCATAGCGGAAGAATGGAATCGGCTGAAAACCAGCAACCCCTCAGCCATCACCGAGCCTCTCAGGGTGGTGCTATGGCAAACGTGGGCATCCGAGTTCATCAAGCGCCTGCAGACTCTGGATACCGACCCGAACCAAAGGAACGAGGCCATTCGGCTTCAGATCCTCACGGAGCCGGACTGCTTCAAGTATGTGCGATGGGACCCAAGCCAGAAGCGCCTCATCCCCCAGGACACCCTTGCTCCACTGACGGCGAAGGAAATTTTGGACATGCTTCGAGAAACGATCGTGTTGTGCAAAGAGGATGGCGTTCTCATCAACTATCATCCGATGAGGCGGTTGACACAGAAGATGGCAGGAGCAGCCATCACCTTCTCCATGCACTTGGGGCTCAGAGAGGCCAGAGCCTATCGCTTTTGGACAATAATGGAAGCCCTGGCGGGAAACGCCTCGCTTCAATTAGTGGCGACAACCATCCGCAGAGATCGGCGAGGACGATCTCCCTTAGCCCAGGCCTTGGAAGCCGAACTTCGACGGCTGCAGAAACCTTGCGGCAAATCAGACAGTTGAAACTCCGTAATCCCTCCAATGACTGCTATGCCAATTGTGTCCTTCTTTCCACCATGTGGCTGGCAGTGCAACACAAAGGACTCGCTGAGCTCTCCGTCTTAGCTGCCGTGCAGGAGGAACTCCAACAACTGATCATGTATGCCACTCCTGCCTCTAATCCGGTATATGTGTGGTCACGGCCGCTTTGGCGCAGGAAACTACGACACTGGCCTCACACCGGCCGCCAGCAAGATGCGGCTGAGTTTCTCAGCCACTTCAATGAGGCTTGCCGCATCAGTTCACTTCAAGGTACATGGGCTATTCTAGATCAAAATGCACTGGTAGACTGTGGTCATGTTAGTCCACTTTGTCTTAACTGTGACCTCGAAGCCCTCCCCCGCATCCAGGGTTCCCGCTCCTTGCAAAGTGCAATCACTGCCTGGCACCAGCTCCCTGGTCACCCTGCTCTTGCATCAGGTTCTGAGGGCGTTGCTCTACAGCTGAACAGGTTTCGCCTTGTAGGTGGCAGAGTCTTCAAGACACGAGTTCCGATTGCCATACCGTCAGCCGTTACCCTCCCCATATGGGTGGAAGGTTCAGTGCAATACACTCGTTTCCTCCTGACAGCAGTGATCATCCACTTAGGAAAGACCCCAAAGGAAGGTCATTACCAGACTCTGCTCCTTGACACGGCTGGCAAAGCCTGGATCACGGACGACAATGTTGCTGCTAGGCCCCCTGATCACTCATTAGTGAGGGTTGTGCAAGAGAATGCCTACATTGTTTTCTTACGTCCTGATCCTCAGCTTGCTTGTGTGTCCTCACAGTAGTTTTGACAAGTACCATGGCAGTCTGCTCAATCAGTGAAGCCTGGTGCTGTATTAGGCCCTTAGGGGCAACTAGGCTTTTGTTGGATGGATGGCGAAATCGCCATGAAGCAAAGCTTCCGCACTAAGTGCGCCACTACGCTTAGCGGACGAACTCATCCTGCTGCGATTGTGAGTGAGTGAGTGCCACTACCACTTCCACTGCCAATGCCACTGCCACTGCCACTGCCACTGCCACGACCACGACCACGACCACGACCACGACCGCGACCACGACCACGACCACGGCCACGGCCACGACCACGACCACGACCACTACCACTACCACTACCGCTACCACCACTACTACCACTACCACCACTACCACCACTACCCCACTACCCCACTACCCCACTGCCCCACTACCCCACTACCCCACTACCCCTACCCCTCTACCCCACTACCACTGCCACTAATAGTACTACCACCACCACCACCACCACCACCACCACTACTACTACTAGGCACAAGGCACATCGTTTGCCCACCGTTGTTGTTGCGTTTGCTTGACTTTAGTCGGTATGTACGAGAGATATGGAGTCTGCAAAGGAGTCGCACATGACATCGGAATTGGAAAGTTTGGAGCAGGCTTTGTGTGCTGCCAAAGATGGAAGGTTGAGGGCAGGCCTAAGAGTGAGGACACGAAAACCTCGGCCAGGGCGGTGTTTTCTGCTGTCGAAGCCCTGTGACTCTCCTTCAAGAAAGCGCTTTGCACTGCCTTCCAACTTCGTCGCGGACTTTGTCGTTTTACGTGTTTTTGGGACTAGTCGAAACAAGATTGGAAGATTAGTGCTTGGTTCGCTTTCACGCCCGCTGACACACACGCTTAGCTGTGTCTTCAGCCCAAGGTCAAAAAATCTGTCTGGGACCATTGGTCTTTCGGCGGCAGGCGATCCTGACAGGCCGCGCGGAAAGAAGTGAAAGCCTGCACGACGGGTTCGAGGCCGACGTTCTCACTCAGGAACACAGCTGACAAGCCTTGGATGTGGGATTTCGAAAAGCCATGCACCGAACCCCGACATGGCTTTACGCGGAGGCACGTTGATCAAAACTGTCAGCTTTGCGTTAACTGCACGACCGATGGTAAGTGCAACACACAGGAAGCCCTGCCCGCGGATTGTTGTTTGCAGCAACAGCACCCACAAAGCTCCTCACCCCCGGAGCCTGTAAAAGGGCTTCAGGGCAGAGCTGCGGGTTTCAAGGGTGCATGACATGTAATGCAATGTATCAATGTACTGTAAAGTCATGTCAGGAATGGGGGCATGTATGTATGTATGCAGGTATGTCTGTTTGTATGACATGTATTGCAATGTACTGTAACGTCATGTAGGCATGCATGCTGCATGTAAGCATGTCGGTATATATGCGCAAATGCATGTATGCACGTATGCATGCATGCATGTATGTATGTATGTATGTATGTATGTAGGTATACATGTCAGCATGTCGGTATACATGTGGAAATGCATGTATGCACGTATGCATGAATGCATGTATGTAGGTATACATGTACAAATGCATGTATGTACGTACCGCGAGGAAGACGAACCTGGGCGGGCAAGGGGGTACAGGAGGAAAGAAGGGTGGGCAAACGACCAGGTCGCTCCCTACTACTACTACTACTACTACTACTACTACTACTACTACTACTACTGCTGCTACTACTACTACTACTACTAAGGACTGTCACTGTCTTTGAGTAGGACCCAGATCAATGTTTCAGACACCGAAGTTGCCCCCACTGTCTGGATTGCCTCAAATGTTGAAATCGTACAAAAGACTTTCGAAACGTACCCACCTCTTCCTAATACTTGCCACTCCTGTTCCTGCTACTCTTACTATTCTCCCGCTACTTCCGCCCTTCGTTTATTGATTCCTGGCCAGGTTGTGCGCTCTTCGGGAACACGGTCCGGCACACGCCAGAACGCAAACGGTTGGAAAACTGGGAAGAGAATCGAAAGCCTTAAATCTTAGAGCATGGTGTCGGTTGTGGGGCAACTGCGTCGCCGCAAGCTGGGAGTGAAGTGGAAATGCTGCAATTTGGACGCATGACCAAACCAACTGTACTGCTGCCCTAAGGGCAAGATGCATTGATGCATGAATTGCTTGCATGCCGATTCGAACACATGCTCGAAGCGCTTGGGAATGTGGGCTCAATGGAAGATTTTTCGACACTTGTTTAATTGCAGTTCTGACTACACGGCTGCATGTTTGCTAAACTGAGCGCGACAGAGACTACAAACCCACGACAGAATTGTTGTATTTTTCTGCTCTCCTGCTCACAAACTGAGTTTCACTGGTAGTCATTCCTACAATCTCCTAGATAGGCTCTCATAATCGAGCAGCGACACGCCGTGCCATGGTGCTGTGCACTGCAGAACTAATGCCGTGGGTCCGCTACACACGCGTGTCCGCTCACCAGTTTGAGGGTTTTGTCGTGGGTTACAAGTGGGTCCCACGCGTCTAGAAAGTCTCCGGTCTTATTTGGGTTTTACTGGCCTGATTCTTGCTCAGATCAAGCTGCAGATGCCCCAAAAGGTCCAAGTACCAATGTAGTAGCTACTGAACAGATTTTTGGGTTCCCAAAGTATAGACTATATACTATTACTTGGATCCTTTGGGTGCAAGGGCAACTAATGACGGAAAGGTTTTCTGGGGGTTACGTGAAAGCAAACTCAAAGCCCTTCGGACTAGGTGCAGAGAGGGAGCATCTTTTGGGGGTTTCGCAGATACCAATAGTGAATGTGAGTAGTAAGTGGTACAGGGACCTTAGCACTTTGACGTGGGATTTGGATTATATACAGTATAGAACAATTACATTCAGGAACCACTTGTGTATTCAGGCGACAGCCAAGGCTCCACTCGGCTTCGGATTGCTTTGACTTCTCCGGGCTAGTCTTGCTGCTGCTTCAGACTTCCCACAACCATAGACCAATGAAGGGCCATAAGCCAAACCTTAACCGTACCTTTCAGTACCGGAACACCAAAGCGATCGCAAGAATCCGAACTTGCTCAAGATCACCGTTGGCATGGAATAAGGTCAACCCTTTGAATCATGATCGCCCTCCGTAATCTGGATGATCCCCGTTGTTCATTGACAAAGGGCCTAGCTATCAGGGTGGACCTCCATGCTGGTCAGCAGAATCTCTCACATCCCCCGGCTGTGGCATCCATCCCAATGAAATAGCCCTGCGAAGGTCCCTCATGGTTGACCCAACAGCCTGAGTCACCGGAGTCTTCAGCTTTTCAGGAACTTGCAAGACAAGTCGGATGCGGTCATTGAGGCGACGATGAGAGAGCTTTTTTTGCATGTTTTGCACCAAAAGTAGGGTACCAACATCGCTGGCAGTCATGCTCGGCGCGAGGATGCACTACAACTATAGCTTTGTAGGCTCTTGGAGACAGGGATTTCTCCTTGTTGGCTAGGCATACGAACCTTCACGGTATGAGAATCTCTGCCATGGCCTTGCTGCTCCCTGTAGCCTTTAGTCATAACCTCATCGTGTCCCCTTCAAGGCTTGCCAGTGCTCGAGTGTAGAACGGTTCGCGCCCGCCAGTATGTAAATTAACATGTCTCTGAAGTGTAAGCCCCAGACATTGACATATTCGTCGGGACCTGAGCGATCGTAGTATTCCACCCCGGCGTTAGTATCAGATGTGGTGCCAAATCATGCAGAACCCAGAAATCCGTCCTAACGATTTAGTCTGATAGTGTTGATGGGCTAGGGAAAGCACGGTGTATTCCTTCTTGTGGACAACGCTCCCTTGTGCTAGCATCATCGAAGAGACCGCGAAAGCGCACCTGCAAAGCTGCTGATTGGGTTGAAAAACCGCAAGTACATTTTAACCGTCAGCGGCACGTCGGGATGCAGCCCCAAGTGCGGGCTTTCCGAGGCACAGCAGCGCAATAGCGGTGTGCGTCACAGTCGGCTTCGGGTTCTCATGGTGCTGCTGTCGCCGCAGATTTGCTTTGCTGCCAGTATCTGCGAGGGTGTCGTTTGCAGCACTGAACTTTGGTCAGGGGGGGAACGGGGCGTGGATTGGGGTTTTGAAAGGCTGAGCGTGCATGCCGTGATGTGCCGCGCCGACCTCGGCGGCAGGCGGCATCTGGCAAACCTGGAGGCCCCCCTGAAGACAAGTTCGGGAACCATAGGGGGGTTTTATACAGTTTTAGATGCTGGTACGAAGTGTCCATCTGCAAGTTAGATCGAGGCATCGGATTCGCCTCATTTCCCAGCACCGTGAAACCATAGCGAGCAGCAGCCGTGAGGGATGGAAGGATCTGAAGTCTTGGGCAAAACAACCTCGCTGCCGAATCCCGGGGGGGCCATTTTGACATGGCGAGCGTTGGCTAGATGCTGTCGTGTGAGACCTGTCGCAACCTTTTGCTAAAGGTAGAACAGTTGGGAAGCAGGCATGTGTGTCGCACTCACGACGTGGACTCCCTTTCCCACTCGCGTCCTGATCCCGAGCCCTCTGATGACTGTGGATCATGATCCGAGCTGGCCAGGGTTGGGCTGCATCCATCTGGCCAGGTTCCGCGCCGTCAAGTTTTCCTGAAATCTCTGCGCAGACTTTGGGGTCCAGAGTTTCAGAATCCTCTTGACACGCCACTTCAGCCAGTGCCTGGGGTCCAGGCCTCCGGCTGCGGGAAGAAGCACACTCCGATCAGCTGCCCTTTCCTCACCAACTCCGACATTCTGACCCCCCAAAGCTAAACCCTTAATAATTAACCCCTGCCTGCTGAACATCCTTAACGCTGTGGAGCTTCCGGACCAGTCTCTGCATTACCCGAAAGCACTGCTGAGCCATGCGAAGTATGGGATTCTGGACAAGGCAGGAATTTGCCCGATGGCCGTATTGTAATGTAGGTTAGATCTGAAGGAAGACTCAGGGGAGCTTTCAAAGCCCCTTGCTGCCAGACTTGCCTTTGAGACCACTGCCCAGACCGCTACCGGGCCTTATGCTTGCATGCGAGTCCAGAAGAGTGCACCTCAACCAGGCTGCGGCTGTCGAACCGCAATAACCCTAAGCTGTACAGAGCCTACACAAGCCCCAAACTCTACAGCCGAAACCAACGAGCTGACGCTCACCTCTCGATGCGCCCCGAAACGCAGGCAACAGCAATGCTCTTACTGATGAACACCTTCGCATCAGAGGCGCGTCTCTCAGTGTTGTGCAACTGGCATCGGACTGCTGTCAGTGAACACCTTGAGTGTTTGGAGCAGACTCACGACGGGAGCTTTCAATCCACAGAGCTGCCGCGACTTGTATGGATTCTTCATGGCTGTTCAGTGCGGTGCAAAAGGCTTCAGGGTATTCCGAGAAGGGGGAAGGGATTGCGGCGGATGTAGGGAGAAGGAGCTTCGAATGATGTGATCCAGAGCTGGATGGGTTTCGGGTTCAGTCCTGGGTTCGGGGTTCAGGGAGAGCGTTTGGGTTTAACGACCGGCGACGCCCTACTCTACTGTGCGCATTTCGCGACAATGACTCCTCAGGCAGCACTTGACATGGCAAACTCACTGGCCGGTCAGTTGGAGGCCATGGGAGGGACTTATAGACACCGTGGAGTGCCGCTGACAAGTTGTGCAACATGGGTTGCCGTTTGTTTAGGGTTCGGAGGACTTTCGCGCGGAGCGGAATGGTATTGTGGGTTGGATGTGTAGGGAGACCTAGACAAGCTTTCAACCCCTCGCGACCAGGCTTGCTTTTAGCAGCACTGACTAGACCCTGACCGGCCCCCCTGCGTTTGCATCTGCTGTGTTCATAGCAACAACCCTCAGCCACAGGGCCCACATCCCAAACCCTAAACCAGAAGCCCGAAATATCGTTGAATCCCAATGAGCGTCAGCGCAAGTTCTCGCATCGCATCTGGATGCAGCCCTAACTGCAGGCTTCCCGATGCACACCGTCGCATCAGCGGCATGCCTCTCAGTTGTTTACAGCTGCCCACTTTCTGTTCTCATGGTGCGGCTGACAAGGTTTTGCTATGCTTTCGGCGAAGGTCTTGAGTGTTTGGTGCCGTCTCGCGACAGTAGCTTAGAATCTACAGGGCTGACACGACCGAGGAGTTCTATGGAGTGACGAATTCCTTCAACATAGGCGTATATACGATTTATTACTTGGAAAATGTACGCAAATTCCAGGCCAAGCATGCCGTGATTTTTTGCCGGTTGGGGTCCATCTCACAGCAGAGCCCCCTGCACACTGATGGGAGCCTAGATTCGACTTCTGACTTATGAACACCGAGTGCCTGCGCCGGTTTTCGTTTTCGAGTGACGATAGGAGCTGGACAGTGGTAACTACCCTTTGGGGTTCGGGGGGCTTCTGGTTTGGGGTTCCGCGTTCAGGGCTCCAGTGGCATTGTCTTGGACAGGCAACTTGCAGGCAGCAGCGCTTGCCAGAGTATGAGCAGGAGCTGCACGCGCCGCGGGGGGGGGGGTGGGGAGGAATGTATGCATGTGTGTCGGTCAGATGCAAGAATGTGTGCATGGGTTTGTGTCTGTTCGTACGGTGTCTCGTCGTGCAAACACAGTCCTGATACAAACGAACGACTGTGTATGTACACGCGTTTACGAATCTTTGTAGCCAAGTATGTACCCTCTCTCTCTTTCTGTCTCTGTCTGTCTCTGTCTCTCTGTCTCTCTTTCTCTCTCTTTCTCTCTCTCTCTCTCTCTCTCTCTGTCTCTCTCTCTCTCTCTCTCCTTCTGTCCCTCTCTCTCTCGATCTCTCTTGTGCCTACAGTGAATCTCTATGTGTGTTGTCGCTCCAGAACTCAGAGGTGGGCTGCAATTGCAGTTCGATCCCTAAAGATCTGTCTTGTGCAATCGCCAGGACAACTGCTGGAATCGGAAGCAGCTCCGCTCCAGGACAGAGAAATGGAGTTCTCAGCACCTGATCGTCATTGCTTTGCGTCATGCCGTGGCTAACTGCTGTGCTGTTCGTCGTGGCACCTAGTATACCGAATTGCTAGATTCCCAGCCTTCGTCCCAACAGAGGGTCTCGGGCTTACAGCTCAGGGTTTCAGGGAATCATGGCATTTTTTGTGAGCCAGGCTGCTCCGATGATGTTTCGTTAACCACTGTGCCTGAGTCTCTGACAGTTTGTTAGTAAATGTTAGTACAAGCAGCCAGGAACGGCCTTAACGGACCAACAAGAATCGGATTATGCGCATGGCCGCAAGTTCGTTGAATTCTCTGTATGTTGTCTGGCTGGGAATTGGCACCCTCGCATCCCGAATGTCGAAACCTCAGCTTCCTCGTCCGCATCTGCGGTGCTTCACTCCATATCTAAACCCCAAGCGCTAGCCAGACCCGTGGGAACCAACGCCGCAGCCGAGAAGGTTCGCGCCCTTGTGCCACGATCTGAGCAGTCGCCCAGTCAGGCAACAAAACGGTGCAAGTGAAGATGGAGGTGGAGCCAGCAGGCAGAGACACGTCGCCGTCGCCGTCAAGCTCCTGCGGAAGCAGTCCGTCTCCACCTATGCCCGGCAGCAGACGCGTCCGAGAGGACGAGATGGAGATGCGCCTGAAAGGCCCCATTGACGCTGTCGACAAGGCCAAGAAGAGCGTCAAGACTGGCTTCGATCTGAGGAAGAATCCCGGCGAAGAAAAGCGGACCGTCTTCGGCTTCATGGAGTCACGCCCTCAGTGTGATGGACGGTACTTATCCCTGCAAGTCTATTCGAAGAGTTCCTGAACTCTGTTCAATAGGTGATTCAGTGCTGCCTTGTGTCAACCTGTCTGCCACAACAACCTGACGGGGTCTTGAACAAGGCAGGTTTCGAGAGGCATGGAGGTTTCTTTATGAGCCGAAGGCGCCCAAACCTTGCATCCTAAAAGGGCTGTAGTCCAGAAGGCACAAGTAATGGGAGGCTTGTGTTCACACCACTCATTCTCACTCTCTGCGTCGCTGTCTGATGGTCCGTCCCAACTAAGGCGCTTGAAAGAAGCGAAGCCCCACAAGAATACCCCACAGCAGCTGGGAATAGCGTACAACACGGTGGAGATCCAGGAGAGCCGCGAGTGTTTCCACCAGTCCACATTGACCGTCACCGCTGAAGACAAGGATGGAGTTCCGTACGTATGGAGTGGACGCGAGTTCAGGGGACCTGTGGTAGGGAAGAAGACGTCGGCGGAGCATGCGGCCGCAAGTGTGTTTCTTGCGGACTCTGACGTTCAACGAACGGCGGCAAACCTGGGTCCCTCTTACAAGCAAAGACATTCCCATGAGCGCATGAAGCAACGGATGCCGGTTTTGATCGCAAGGCGCACTGCCAAGAGGGCTGCGGCCAGGCAAGCGAGAGAAAATCAACAGTCCGGTTGTTGGTCGTCAATGAATGCTGTAGCTCATTATGAATGTGCGCTTGCGCCAGGAGGCACCACACGTTGTGTGGCGGCCTCGGACACTCGGACGCCCCTGCTACGTCACCCGTGGCTTCGGCTTCAAGCGTGAGCGATCGGCATCCTTGTCCGACAGTTTCTTAGTCAAGGCAGTCAAGGGCGCAGTTCAATTTTTTTCGTCCTGCGGCTCAGGACCGAGCGGGCATTCGAGGCTGGCACATGGGTGGTTTTTCCAAAGTAGGTTTCCTTTCAGGGTCCTTTTTGTAAGGATGCCGGTTTTGTTTGGGTTCCTACAGTTGAAACCTCACTTAGAGTGAGCTACCCACATGTTTGCTTAACGCTTGGCTTCACGGGTTGGGTTGAGAGTTCAGAGCTTCTTGTTTCGAGGCTTAGGGCTTTCAGAACTGGGTTCCATTCAGGCCTTGTCGCTTTAGGTTTGGGCCCGAGTGGTGGAGTGTTTCCCTTCGGCGGTTTTTCTGCTTCCCTGGACTGGGTTCCAGCCTCGTCCGTTTCAGTCGAAGTTTCCGCATTTTCAAACCTGTGAATATCTCACTGGCAGTGGGCGGCCCCCGCCTATTGATGAGGTCGCTTGAAAATTAAATTTTAAACCTGCTCGTGCGAAAGCGTTCGAAACATGGACTAACAAGTTCGCCCTTTTCCAAAGTTCTACACATACCTGTGCTTGTTACATGCATCGCATCCATGAAGATGCGTGCTCCTGTCGCTTGGCGATTAGTCGCAGCTTCTCGATGCAGGCACTTCTTTCGTGTTTGCTTGCCCAGACAGATTCCGAGCAAGACCCCGCCGAGGACAGATTGCAGTTCAAGCCCCCGTGCACACTCCGGATTAAGCTGCTGCTTTCGCGCTGAGTTTTTCCATGAATTCGAAGAGGCGCATCCCCGAACTCGCTGTACATCTAGTTTGTTAGGGCACTGAATCGCTGGAAGGGCCCGAGGCCCCAGGCCGCAATAAGACTCAAGCTCATGCGTCTTCACCAAACTGTCATCGCACGTTTCGATAGGAAGATGGCCCTGTGACGGCTCTCCTTCAGGCCCAGCGGCTCAGAGGGCAAATGCTACAGGTGCCCAACATAACTTTCACGGGGGTGACCCGCGGGACGAGTGTGCATCCATCTCGAGGTTAGACCCAGGCATCGCTTTTGAGACTTTTCCAGCACGTTGGACATCTCCCCAAACTCCGACAATTTGTCCGCTAGGCGAAGAACAACTACCCAGAGGCGGCTGTTGGCCATGCTCTCAGGATCAGGGTTCAGGGCCTCAATGTTGCTAAAGTGCGTTTGAAGCCCGCCTCGCTGGATTCGACTTTGTTGTGCTGCAGTTCTGGTTTCTTGCAGAGTAGGGTGCCGTTACCTTTGGCAAGCAGTGCTCTGCGTGAGGATGCATTGCAATTTTGGCATGTAGGTGTGATCGGCTTGGTGCATGGATTTTCATGGTGTGATCCGGAGGTTGCTTTTTATTGTAGCTTCTCGTACTCTGTGCCCTTAGGATGCTCCAGATCCGAATCCCGAAACCGCCCCCCCACCAAACCCAAGACCTCAACTCGAACCCCTCTCAGACCTCAAACCCTACACTTCAATCCTAAATCGCCCGAGAGCTTCGGTGCCTCCAACAGTCCTGCACACAGGGCTTGAGATTTCTTGATGTTTCATGCATGGACGAGTTCGGGTTCACACACACTCTTATCTAGATGAGCTCCCCTCGTGCTTCCCGGAGTTGACGATACTATCCAGCTGTGTTTCGATAGCTCGGAGAAGTCCTTAGGGCCTGCATCAATGTTTCAAGAAACATACTCGCAGGTAACTGAGCAATCGTCCGAATTCCTCACGTGCCTTCCGTATCAGATGTACTGCAACATGATACAGAAGCCCGTCCTAATCCGTCCTACAAATTCAGTTTGGTTCATGGACGCAATTTTGCATCAGCGTAAATACCAGATAGCCATGCAGGGTATTTTCCTTCCCATGGACACTGCAGGAAAGCATGCAGGTCTTTGTCCGGCATAGCCGAGTGGTACTGTAGTTTGAGTATGGTCGGGTGTGAAGGGAGTCCTCGAGAAGGCTTTAACCCATCGCGACTAGGGTTGCCGTTAAGAGCAATGCCTAGACCCTGACCGGCTCCCTGTGCTTGAAATCATCAAAGGGCCCGCAAGCGTGCATCTCAAGAGACCCAAAAGCCGTGGACTGCTCCCAAAACAACAGTGACCCCAAACCGCGGGCCTACATTAGCCTACATCCCAAACCTCGAAATAACCCCTAAATCCCAATGAGCGTCAGCGCAAGTTCTCGCATCGCATCTGGATGCAGCCCTAACTGCAGGCTTCCCGATGCATACCGTCGCACCGGCGGCATGCCTCTCAGTTGTTTACAGCTGCCCACTTTCTGTTCTCATGGTGCGGCTGACACGGTTTTGCTATGCTTTCGGCGAAGGTCTTGAGTGTTTGGTGCCGACTCGTTACAGTAGCTTAGAATCGACAGGGTGTGGGTCAGAGGGGGACCGACTCGACCTATTTGGTAGTCCTGGCTCTAGATGTTTTAAAGAATTGGGGATTGCAGGGGGTGAAGGGGACTTCGAAGTCGGATCCGGAGCCTGATGTGTTCCGGGTTCTATCCTGGGCTCAGGATTCGAAGAGAGAGTTTGGCGTCTATGCCATGTTGTGCTGTGCCGAGTTCGAAGCTCCGCAGGCAGCGTCTGCCATCGCGAATCCACTGACTGTCACTTGGAGGCCCTCGCCGGAGGGCCGCAGGGGTTCCCGCGAAGTGCTGCAGAAAAGTTGGGGCAAAATGGGATCGGAGTTGCAACCTTTCCCAGCATCATGGACGTCTGCTCAAACTTAAACAAGTTTTTGGAGCAGCAGCTGGGCCTTTCGGAGACAACGCATCTTTTGATGTGGAGAGTGCCTGCCAGATGCATCGCTGTGGGACTTGTCGCTAGCTTCTAGCGAGCAGTTGGGTTGGGGGCAAGCATGGGTGCTCACGATCCTGAAGTCGACTATGCACATGTCATGTTCCATTTGTCCACTCGCAGCCCGAACCTCAATCTTGAGCCCTCTGGTGACCGGTATTTGACCCTGCACCAGGATCCGGCATGACCAACTCCGATGCAGGAGGCTTAGTCTGCATGAGGTCCGGCACCGTCAGGTTTTCTCAGATGTCAGCTGCGGCTCGGGGGTTCGCTTCATTCTGGGTCCGCGCGCGGCCTCAGAAGTCTGCTTCGGCTTCTCCAGTACCTGGGATCCAGGCCTCTACGCCGCCCTGCTGGTAGAGGCACGCTCCGACAAGCTGCGGGCATCTGCCGATTTTTGTTTTCAGATGACATAGGAAAGCTGGACATTGGTAGCTACCATTTGAGGTCTATTGGTTTCGGGTTCCACGTTTTGGGCTCCACTAGCAGTCTTTTGGACAGGCATTCACAGGTAGCTCGCAGGCAGCAGCGCTTTCCAGACTAGAAGAGCACGCGCGCGCGCGCGGGGGTGGGGTGCGGGGGCGGGGGAAGTACGTGTGCATGCGTGTCTGTCAGATGCAAGAACGTATTGCATGATACAGGTTCGTCCATACACATGTTCTCATACAAATAATAAACGGCTGTACATGTACGCAGATGTACGAGTTTTTGTCGACAAGTGTGTACCTTTTCTCTCTCTCTCTCTCTCTCTCTTTGTTTTGTGCCGGCAGTGCATGAGCGTGTGTGTGTGTGTGTGTGTGTTGTTTCTCCAGACCTCAGAGCTGGGCTGCAATTACACTTCGATCCCTGAAGGGTTGCTCGTCTCTGGGAGCCGCAGGTAAACCCTGACCTCTTGACACGGTAGACATCGGTAGACTGCCAACTGCGAAGCCTTGGGGGATGGGCGTTATTGACCGTTATTGGGCGCAAAGAAGTCTTCCTTGTGCTCCCGTGGTTTCTGTTTCGCGCGTGCTCTCCATTCTGGGGCATGATCTGTGCAGTGCAATCGCGAAGACGAGTGCTGGAATCGGAAGCAGCTCCGCTCCAGGACAGAGAAATGCAGTTCTTGGCACTTGATCGGCAGCCCTGATGGCTTTGCACCATGCTGTGGCTAACTCCTTTGTCGTTCGTCATGGCACGGTGGCATAGCCCTCATCCCAACAGAGTGTTTCGGGCTTACAGTTCAGGGTTTCGGGATGCCATGGTGTGTTTTGTGAGTCAGGCTGCCCCGTTCTCCCTTGAGTCTGACAGTTTTATAGCATCAGCAGCCAGGAACTGTCTTCATGGAATCCATAGGAATCGGATGATGTTCGTTTCCGCAACTTCGTTGAAATCCATGTTTGTTTTCTCGCTGGGAAGTGCCATCCTCGCATGCATGCCAGAAAGCCCTGTGATGTTCGGGGATGAACTGCCTCAAACGTGGAATTTACTTTCGAAACCTCGGCTTCCCCGTCGGAGGGTGCTTCACCCAAACTCTAAACCCCAAGTGCTTAATTAACCCTGAAGCCTGAAGCCCTAAGACACGAAACACCGGCCCTTGGGTGCACACCGCAAACTTGCACCGGCCGCGTCAGACAAGTCACGCACTTGCCGAGCAGCTGCGCAACGTGCAAGAGGTGGGAGCCTCTGGAGGGCTGCGTTGTTTTGAAGATCACTCTAAGGAGGATTTCGATAAGTTATGAGGCGTCTTTTTTCATGCCTGCCAGGGTGTGATCATTGATTGGTCTTTCTGGGAGCCTTCTGTCTCGAGAGGAAGCCGTGTAGCAACGAACGAAAAGGACAATTATCTGCGGGAGCATTAGAGGAGGTTCGCCTGGATTGGATTCCCGATTGCATAAAGGCAGCGATGATCGGGAAGCCATCGGAGACCAAACCTAAGCCCTCTCAAGCCATGACATTAAACAAGACGGCAGCGCCTAAAGTCCGGATGTGAAGCGCATGGGGCTGGGCATAAAGACATGGGCACCGCAGCCCGTTCTCGAAAAGCAGGTTTGTGCTCGGAGGAATGGTCCGCAAGAAGCCAAGAGAAAACCGAACAGTTCCAGCCCACGCGTGGCACGTGTCGCGGCTCGGGTCCGTTTAGTTTCATTGCATGCTTCCCCGAAGGCTCTAAAGTCAGAGAACCCTGAAACCATAAAAGCTAAGCCGTTAA